CCCCCCCCCCCCACACCCCCCTCCCCCTTCTCCTCGTGGGAGTCAGGCGCTGGGGCCTCGGGTGACCGAAAGAGACTCCGCGTCCCGTCGATCGCCGCCTTTCGCCTCCGCTTCCTGCGCCTTCTGCCACTCGAGGACGCGAGAGAGGAGCCGGATGTACTTGATGGCGAGGCGGAGGATCTCGTTCTTGCTGAGTTTCTTGTCCGGCGGGTGGGTCGGGACGAGTTTGCGGAGTTCCGCGAAGGCGCCGCTCACGTTCTGCTGCCGCCAGCGTTCGCGGCTGTTCGTGAAGACCTTGCGGCCGACCTTGGCGCCGTCGCCGTTGCCGTTCCCGTTGTTGTTGCAGCTGCTGTTGGACGATTCGCTGTACGGCGTCCGGGGATCCGGATACGGACGCGACCGGACGCCGAGACTCGTCGCCGCGGGCGGCGGCGGCGGACGCAGAGACGGCGGCGGGGCCAGCGGCGGCTGCGGCGGGTAGAGATACGTCCAGATCGGAGTCCCCGCTCGGGGGCATTCATCCGGGATGCAATCGTCGGTGGAGAAATCCGAGAGATCCCCCAAATCCGACGAGTCCGGATCCGGATCCGGATCCTCATCCGTCCAACTGCACGAAGAACGACTGGATTCCACGTCTACCATGGGAGACGGGCTCTCCGGTTGGGAACAATTTGGGATCATCTAGATTCGCATCACTCCTCCAGGATTATCTGCACACGACGGGATACGGGATCATCTGCATGCGATTATCCAATACGTTCACAACTCTTCATCAGAGCCGATGTCCAAGAATTTAATTTAATAAAATTTAAATCATCGGCGAAAGTTTTCAACGTTCGCTTCCCCCAACTGCGCAGAGTCGACCTCGTCCGTTTCCTAAACTGGGGAATCCCGCACGCAAGCGATTCTGCGATTCCTCTTCCCGCAAAAACTGCATCTAAAGGGACTAAAGGACTTAGGTACCTGCAGCATTAGAGTTTGGACATTCGAGAACGCTCAAAGAAAAAAATTCGGGTTGACAGCTTCTTGCGAAAATGGGCAATCAAATGTTATTTACTAGAATCTTATTGGTAATATTAACTAATAAAAAAAAAACACTTGTCAGGATAGTTTGATCTTCGACACAGAGCTGAATCGTCCGCGCAATCCAAAAATATTGCTTATTAATATAACTAAACGACTAAAAATTGGAATCAGTTGGTGCACTGCTCGAACGCGAAGCGCTTCGGCGAATTATCTGAGGAAACCGTCGAGGTGTAATGGGTTTTATATAGGGATCATTTCCCGCTCGTGCAATTAAATTCATGACTCCAAATTCGTCTCGTGATGCACGCGGCACCCGGGGGGCACCTGTGGGGCACCTGTGGGGCACCTGTGGAGCACCAGCTGGCACGGAGCCACCGCGACTACCGGTGCTGGGTCCGTTTTCACGCAAGTGTGGATGGATTTTGGCAATCTGAACTTCGCAGAATCTGCAGGTTAACAAATTCATTTTCAATGAAATTTTGGGGTTTAGGATTAGGATTAGGGATTAGACTTAAGACTTAGGATTAGGACTGCGACTTTCGAAACGTCGCGCTTGATTCGCATCGCGAATGCCAGCCGGAAAAGGGACGACGAACGGAGAATGGGAATACGCAGCCGGTAAAAGCAGCTTAAGAATTCGTAAAAATCATTCAGCACGATTTCTTTTTCTCGCTCAGAGAGGGAATTGCCCTCGCGAAAACGCGCATTAAAATGAAAAATCGGACCTGCCAACGCGTCCGTTTCCGCCAAGACATGTACCGAGGATGAGTTTTTTGAGGTTATTCCATTCATTGCGGAAATTTCCCCCGCTGAGATGAACCCGCATCCGGACTCAAACAGTCCCTTACCTCCGAACTCCAAAGGTCGACACGGCAGACGACCCAGCAGTCGACACAGAAGACTCACCCAAACCACCTAAACCCCACAGCAAGCCAGAAAGCACCTACCTCAGACAACATTCAGCCGAGACGCAGAGGAACACGACCCAACAGGCCACAGAGCAACTCCCCCCCTCCGAATCACAAGCCCCGCCCCCTCCCCAGAAGCAGCCAATCGGAGCCCTCCCTCGCCCCGTCCCGGGATGCGGTCACCATGGAAACCAGGTCAACCTAGTTCCCGTATGCGCTCCCTTCTGAGACTTCCCCCGCTTCCTCCGCGCTCCTCCCCGCCCGAGCAGAAGTCGATCCCAAATCCCTTCGATCCCAACACGAAGACGAACGCATGCAACACTCAAAAATGATAATTATGTTAATTACCTTTTGCTCAATTACCTCCCACGGACAAGACGCAGACGCACCCATTCACCGACACGTTCCTATGCATCATCCCTCCCGCAAAGACAAACAGACTGAGAATTTCCTCTCTTTTATCGTCCTCATTCGGGGAAGTGGGAGTAGATTAGCAGCTTCCTGCCACTTATCGCCCATCACATGCCCCTATTCGGTGTCGACCGAGCATCTCATACCCCTATTCGGCGTCGACCGAGCATCGGCCCTATTCGGCGACACGAACCGGAAGACGACCGACGCGACGACCGAATAAACAAAACGGAGTCGGGTTTCGGCGTCTCCACATGTCCACTTTTCTCATCCGTTCCTCATTCCATTCTCATCCCATTCTCATCCCCTTCTGATCCGTTTCTCATTACAATGGAATGCTCGCCGGGGATTGGGTCATAAACAGATTTCTGCGATAGAGGGGATTCGTGTCTGCTTTATCTCGGATGCAGGAAGTCGAGTGGCGGGTAATCCCGGGTCAATGGGAAACCTAATCCCCTCTCATTGCACTTCGTCACAGGC